ATTTCGCGATGTTAAGTTTGAAGTTGGCGTCGTTCAGCAGTGAGCATACTTCTTCGATGTGCTTGGCATGTTCAGGAAATGTTCGGGAATATATGATGATATCGTCGATGTAAGCTAACATGTGTTTCCAGCGATTTGGTCCAAGGATTTGATTGACGATGCGCTGAAATGTCGGTGGTCCATTCGTGAGTCCTTGTGGTAGCACCTTGAATTGAAAATGCCCATCTCGTGTGGAGAATGCTGTTTTTGGTCGATCAGCTTCGTCCAATGGTACTTGAAAGTATCCCGACTTAAAATCGAACTTGCTGAAATATGTTGCTTTTGTCAATTGGTCGTAGATATCATCCATTCTTGGTAATGGAAATGCATCTTTTGTTGTTATTTGATTGAGTCGTCGATAATCCACACAAAATCGTGTGGTTCCATCTTTCTTTTGTACTAATATGACCGGTGACGACCATGGAGATGTTGAATGTTCGATGATATCGTTCTTCAATAACTTTTGTGTTTCTCCCCGTAGCATTTCTTGATCTCGGTTAGATTTTCGATAAGGTGGTGTATGTAATGGTTTATGTGTACCGGTGTCGATTGCATTTTTTAAGACGATGTTGACTTTCGATGGTTTCCGGAGATCAAACAGGTTTCCGTACTTCCATAGGATGTTCGATATTTGGTTCCGTTGTTCGTCATTCGGAATGTGTGTGGTTAATTCTTGAATTTGTTGTCGTATTTCGTCTGGGTAGCATCGTTCGCGTAGATGTTGAAATAAGTCGTTGCGTGTAGCGAATCGTTGTGAACAATTTCGACATTTCGTGTCGTCTTCCTCTACTGTTGATGCTGGTAGATTTGTATCACTCGCTACTTTCCCTTTTGGAATGAGCTGTTTGCACGCTTTTCCATTAGGAATGCGGGTTTTAGCTGGGCTGGATGGCATGATGAGATTAACTGACTGTGCCATCTGCGTCACCGTGCCGATCCGTGTACCTTCCGAAAGTGTTTGTCGTCGATTTGTTGCATTAATGATGCTAATTGTCGCTTTTCCCTCGGTAATGCCGAGTAATGCGCATGCTGTAAATAATGCTTTCCGTTGTAATCGAGGATTTGGTTCGAATAACGCATCGTCCATGTTCGTTCGTTGCAATTGTACTTCGACGATGTGCTCTGAAAAAGGAGATAAAGTGATGTAACTGGCAAGAGTTGCTGGATAATTCAAGAGTGGTGGTTTTATAAATGACGTTGATACTTCTCTGGTTCGGTGTTTGATCATGATGCGTTTTTCTGGTGTTAAAATGTAAACGTTGTTTGCCTGAATCCAGTCACTCCCAAGTATTAAATTTGTGACTAAATCGGTTGCGACATCGGCTTTAATGTTGGTGATGATTCCGTTGATGTTGATAAATAATAATACTTCACCGATGATGTTGACCGCTGAGCAACTTGCTGATAAATGGTTTGTTGTCTTAGGTGTAAATCGTTTGTAGGGGATTTTGTTCAGTAAACGTTTGTGAATGATTGTGATGGCCGATCCTGTATCAATGAGTGCTTCTTGTGGAGTGTTGTTGCATAAAACTTTGACGAATATTGGATTGTATGCTGATGTTGACGCTGTAAGTGATGATGCAAGTGATGACTTGTGTTCTCCACGAGGATCGTCGCCATCGTCCGATCCCCCTAATCGAAAAAATGATGTTGTGGACACTCACGTATTCGATGACTCGATTGTCCACATCTGAAACAGCCGTCTTTCTTCTTATGAAAACATTCCATAGTTGAATGGTTCGTCCGATTGCATACGAGACATGGTCGCGGTTTGCGTGTGGCCTGTTTGGAGTTAGTTTGTTGACGTTGATACTGGTTATTATTCTGATTTCGACTGTCGTGTTCATATGCTCGCGTATTTCCACCAGTATGTGTTCGATTTTCGTATCGACGGTATGATCTCCGTGTATGATTGCCTGATGGTGGATTCGCTGACGATTGTTGTTGGATGGCTGCTGTCGATAACGTTGGTTCGAAGTATGGTTTACGTGTTTCTGCTCGTGGTGGCGTAATGCGTTGTTGAATTCGTCGCTGCACCCGTTCCTCATCTCTCGCCCATATCAGCCATTCGTCCGGTCTCGACATGTTCACTTCATTACGGAATAGATGTTCTTTCAGTGAACGTTTCACGCCGGCTTGCAGTACTGTGATAATTTGATTCTCGGTGATTGATTTGCCGAGTTGTCGATATTTACGCATGACCATGTCGTAGAACGATGTTACCGATTGTTCTTCTTCTTGTCGAAGTTGGAAAAATTCTTGTATCAGCTGACCAATCGATGCTGATGTCCGGAACCGATTATGTAATGCATCTTCAGCTTCTTTCCAACTGTCGAATAATGTTAGATTTTCTTGATACCATCGTAAAGCTGATCCCGTAAGTTTCCCCATTGCCATCAGCACTTTTGTTTCATCTTGTAATTTCATCAGCGAGAATAAACTTGTTAAATCATATAGCCATTCATCAATGTCCGATTCATCCGATTCACNCGAACACCTGTGAGACCACGAATGTTTTCTGGATCCGGTTGAATTGTTCCTTGTTTGACGATATGTCCCAGGAATAGGATTTCGGCTCGTGCAATTTCACATTTCGCGATGTTAAGTTTGAAGTTGGCGTCGTTCAGCAGTGAGCATACTTCTTCGATGTGCTTGGCATGTTCAGGAAATGTTCGGGAATATATGATGATATCGTCGATGTAAGCTAACATATGTTTCCAGCGATTTGGTCCAAGGATTTGATTGACGATGCGTTGAAATGTCGGTGGTCCATTTGTGAGTCCTTGTGGTAACACCTTGAATTGAAAATGACCGTCTCGTGTAGAGAATGCTGTTTTTGGTCGGTCTGCTTCGTCTAATGGTATTTGAAAATAACCCGATTTGAAATCAAATTTGCTGAAGTATGTTGCTTTTGTCAATTGATCATAGATATCATCCATTCTTGGTAATGGAAATGCATCTTTTGTTGTTATTTGATTGAGTCGTCGATAATCCACACAAAATCTTGTGGTTCCATCTTTCTTTTGTACTAATATGACCGGTGACGACCATGGAGATGTCGAATGTTCGATGATATCGTTCTTCAATAATTTTTGTGTTTCTTCCCGTAGCATTTCTTGATCTCGATTAGATTTTCGATAAGGTGGTGTATGTAATGGTTTATGTGTACCGGTGTCGATTGCATTTTGTAAGACGATGTTGATTTTCGATGGTTTCCGAAGATCAAACAGGTTTCCGTACTTCCATAGGATGTTCGATATTTGGTTCCGTTGTTCGTCATTCGGAATGTGTATGGTTAATTCTTGGATTTGTTGGCGTATTTCGTCTGGGTAGCATCGTTCGCGTAGATGTTGAAATAAGTCATTGCGTGTAGCGAATCGTTGTGAACAATTTCGACATTTCGTGTCGTTCTCCTCTACTGTTGATGCTGGTAGATTCGTATCATTCGCTACTTTCCCTTTTGGGATGAGCTGTTTACACGCTTTTCCGTTAGGAATGCGGGTTTTAGCTGAGCTGGATGGCATGATGAGATTGACTGACTGTGCCATCTGCGTCACCGTACCGATCCGTGTACCTTCCGAAAGTGTTTGTCGTCGATTTGTTGCATTAATGATGCTAATTGTTGCTTTTCCCTCGGTAATGCCGAGTAATGCGCATGCTGTAAATAATGCTTTCCGTTGTAATCGAGGATTTGGTTCGAATAGCGCATCGTCCATGTTCGTTCGTTGCAATTGTACTTCGATGATGTGCTCTGAAAAAGGAGATAAAGTGATGTAACTGGCGAGAGTTGCTGGATAATTCAAGAGTGGTGGTTTTATAAATGACGTTGATACTTCTCTGGTTCGGTGTTTGATCATGATACGTTTTTCTGGTGTTAAGATGTAAACGTTGTTTGCCTGAATCCAGTCGCTCCCAAGTATTAAATTCGTGACTAAATCGGTTGCGACATCGGCTTTAATGTTGGTGATAAGTCCGTTGATGTTGATGGATAATAATACTTCACCGATGATATTGACCGCTGAGCAACTTGCTGATAAATGGTTTGTTGTTTTAGATGTAAATTGTGTGTAGGGGATTTTGCTCAGTAAACGTTTGTGAATGATTGTGATGGCGGATCCTGTATCAATGAGTGCTTCTTGTGGAGTGTTATTGCATAGGACTTTGACGAATATTGGATTGTATGTCGTGGTTGATGTTGTGAGTGACGATGTGATTGATGACTTGTGTTCTCCACGAGGATCGTCGCCATCATCCGATCCCCCTAATCGAAAAAATGATGTTGTGGACACTCACGTATTCGATGATTCGATTGTCCACATCTGAAACAGCCGTCTTTCTTCTTATGAAAACATTCCATAGTTGAATGGTTCGTTCGATTGCATACGAGGCATGGTCGGGGTTTTCGTGCAACCTGTGTGGAGTTGGTTTGTTGACGCTGATGCTGATTATCATTCTGATTTCGACTGTCGTATTGATATGCTCGCGTATTTCCACCCATATATGTTCGATTTTGATATCGATGGTATGGTCTTCGTGTGTGATTATCTGACGGTGGATTCGCTGACGGTTTCTGTTGGATAGCTGCTGTCGATAACGTTGGTTCGAAGTACGGTGTACGTGTTTCTGCTCGTGGTGGCGTAATGCGTTGTTGAATTCGTCGCTGCACCCGTTCCTCATCTCTCGCCCATATCAGCCATTCGTCCGGTCTCGACATGTTCACTTCATTTCGGAATAGATGTTCCTTCAGTGAACGTTTCACGCCCGCTTGCAATACTGTGATGATTTGGTTTTCGGTGATGGATTTGCCAATTTGTCGATATTTACGCATAACCGTGTCGTAGAATGATGTTACCGATTGTTCTTCCTCCTGTCGAAGTTGGAAAAATTCTTGTATCAGCTGACCAATCGATGCTGATGTCTGGAACCGATTATGTAATGCATCTTCGGCTTCTTTCCAACCGTCGAATAATGTTAGATTTTCTTGATACCATCGTAGAGCTGATCCCGTAAGTTTCCCCATGGCCATCAGCACTTTTGTTTCATCTTGTAATTTCATCAGCGAGAATAAATTTGTTAAATCATATAGCCATTCATCAATGTCCGATTCATCAGATTCACCGGAAAACTCATTAATTTTCTTCATTGCTTCTTGTTGACTAGCATGTAATTGTCGGAGCTCCATCGAGGTAAAATCGATCCAGGCATCCGATTTCGTCATCTTGTTCGTCGAGGTTGTGTTCATTTGGATTTCGTCCGCCGAGATATTTCTCGGTGCTGTGTCTTTTACTGCCGGTGAGGACATTTTCGTATAGGCCGAATGTGTAAATAAGGATCTGCACTGATTTCTGTTGTTGTCCGTCGGATATCGTCCGCAACGTGTGTGGGTTTGTTTACAAAGAACGAAAAAGAAAATTCGAGTAGATGAAAAATTCTTACAGTGTTTGACTGGATAATTTTGATAATCCTAATTAAAATTTTCGTAGTTGATTGTGTTCTACTCTCTTCCCGTAATGGATGATAAATAAACCACTCTTTCCGTTTGGATGAGTTAATATCCCCAGTAATTATCCCTTCTTTTCGATGAGAAAAAGTAAAAGAAGAGTGGGTCACGGCACCAATATGTTAGGTGGCCCTCTTCAGAGAGTTACTTCACGTTTAATCTATCTTCTTACACATATACACACGTATTTATACATATAGAAAAACGAGAGAGTTTAGAGAGAAAGTAGAGAGATAGAAAAGAGCGGATCCGATGGATCTTCTCTCTCCGCTGACACAAAGTATCCTTTTGGCGCCTACTCTGATTTTAATTATCTTAACAATGTAAAATGCATGTGCCATGATTTACCGTTAGGTCCATGTTTTATTTTGGGCAAACTAATGGTAAAAGTGGAATTCGAATTAAAAACTGAGCATCTACATAGTCATAGCTCCTTAACAGCCTTTGTTGGGAAGGCTAATGACGCTCCGTTCTCTAGATCATCGAGCCGACTAAAATGGACTTTGGATGCTATGTCGAGAAAGAGAAAAGATAACTAGATGGGCTGTCAGGCTTCGCCCGACTGCGAATACGGTGCGCGGAATTTCGCCGATACCTTCATTCTATATAGATGAATGAATAGTTTATTTTTGCAACCATGTAGTTTGAAGTTAGAACTTCTCTAGTTGACATAGTTCAAAATGAATAGCTCACTAAGACTGTATTTAATCATAGCAAATTTGAATTGACAGAAGTCATAAAGAAAGTACTCAAATTGAAGTTTCTATGAACTAAAATCTAGAGAGACATGAGGTCGCCGCATTCATTAATTATCTATTCAACGAATCATAGCAGACTTGTAACGAATATATATATTTGCGCCTACTCTACTTTTAATTATCTTCATTGCAGAAAAGATCTACGCCACCGTTTACCACCGAGTCCGTGTTTTATTTTGGGCAAACGTTAAAAGTTTATGAAATTCTGATAAAAGATATATAATCTTCATGTAGCTAGTTCTCCGACAGTGTTTATCGTACAGTCCAGCGACGTTCCTTTCTCTAGATCACTGCGTAACTAAAAATGGACTTTGGATGCTTGTCTAGAAAGAAAGAGTATAAAAAGACGCGAAGAAAACTCAATAATACGATGCTCCTTAAGGTCGCACCGTATTAATAAAAAGACGCGATGAAACTCAAGAATACGGTGCGCTAGCACCGTATAAAAAAGAAACCTAACGTGTTTTCTTCGAATATTCAACTTTCAGATAATGTTCTCAACCTTGTTTTCAGAATCCTCGCATCGACAAATAGTGCGTCGGCAGTAGAGCAGCTTGTGACACCTTTGACTGACAGCCACGGTATAGTTTTATAATTACAAATTAACTAAAGTCAGATGATGAAGAAGAGATCTGCTAAAAGGATTCTCTCCAGAATACTCGATTTTAACTGATTTTTTTCGATTTAAAATCTGATGGAAATCGTGCTATTTAAATCGATTTTTTATCATGAAAAAGTCGATTAATATCAGCTTTTTTCGTATTTTTTTACATGAGCTCCACCAAACTCGGGCCGCAAGATCCCTTTCAAACGTTGTTTTCTGAAATTTTGAGCATTGTCGAAAATATTTTTTTTTCGCCTTTGACCTGCGACACACACACACAGACACAAATGAATTTGAGCTTTTTTTATCATTTTTATTTAGGTGATCCTTCTACCAGTCGAGAGAATATACATGAAGAACACGTTTATTATCGCTAATTAATGCTAAATTTATGAAGTTTGTTGAGTAAATTGATTTTTAGTTAGTAGAAAAATGAACAGTTAAGGGGTGCATAAATAATTCCTCTCGTTAAAATTTTGAAAAATGTTTGGATTTTCTTTTGAAAAATTAGAATAAACAGGTCAAACATCATGCACACGTTGTTTTGCACTAATAGGAGCGCGACAAAACGGACAACAACGTTGCCCATCAAAGATCTCATCAGCACACTTCTCACAGCAACCACGATGCCCGCAAGGAACGAAGAGAAAATCACGTCGTCCATCGAAACAAATGGCACATTCAGACATTCCTTTAGTAGATATTTGGCTATTTTGAGAAGTTGATGATGGATGATTGCTTATTAATCTACTCCATGAAGCATCAAATCTCTCTTCACATTCAGTACAAGACGTGAAACCCAGAATTAATCTTCTTCTGGTTAATTGCTGCCAGCGCACTTTTGAACGTCCCCAGTTGATATCAGGAAAATGCGAAGTGTATGGAAGCGGCGTTGAGTTTTTTGAGCAGAAGCAAACGCGCCTCAAAATTTCGGAAGGTTTTCTCTGGAATTCCTCATTTAATAACTCAGTAAACATATCGTAAATACCCTCTTGATCTTGTCTAAAACTAATTACCAGATCTTTTACCATGTTTGACATGTTGTTAACAATATTTTTCGAGAAAATAGTATTTTTATATTTAGCTCCCGCCGAAGATACAAATTCTCCTGACCAGACATCTGCTGAAGCCCAGCCAAAGAATTCTTTCCATGGAGACAAACCATACACCGATTGACAAGTACGATGACCAGCTTCGTGTGCGCCTTTATGTTGATAACAATAAATGGGATACACAGCATCGTTATTTTTCGATGAACGACCTTTTCCAGTGTACAGTGCCTCACATGGCTGAAATTCTTCGAGTTTATTCGACAGTTTTTCCAAGGCTTTATCGAATTGCTCATTAATTACACGTTCCGACATTAATTCTTGTCGATTATAATTTTGCACCGCAAGAAAGTGAGCCACTATGCGAACAGCGAAGCGACAGCAATAATCAAACCATGAAGGTGAATGAATTGGCATCATGTCATAGTTATACAAAAAACAACGACGACCTATTTCGATCATTTGATCACTATCAGGAGCAACAATTTCACTGAGAAGTGTATGTAATGAAACTGATTTGCCTCTTTGAACTATAGGTAAGACACGTCGAAGTAGATATAACCATTGAGCATGAGTCAACGATTGCTCTGAATTGCTATCACAAATACTTGAAAATAATTTTTTGATGTCTACCATCTGTTGATCAAAAATTTCGTGACCATCCAAGATGCTTTTTCTAGTCCGTTGTAACTGCTCTCGATGTGGTAGACAAAAGCATTTGATACCCGAAAAAAACGGTACCAAAGCAGCTGCCTCCTGTCCATGAATGTCAAAAAAATCTTTCGTGATCTCTTCGTGATTTTTTGATTGAGCTAAGGACCCTTTATTTTGAACAATAATCAGCATCGGTCGATTGACCATTTGGTTGACTCCATCGTTCGCTTTCAATGCGAACTCATGACAACGAGTTAAATAATCAGTCGATGCAAGATCATCATTGCCAATTAGAATGACGACATTACTCAGAATGTAGGCTAGCTTAGGAAAATAATCAGTGATTGCTTGTCGACGCTGTTGAGCTCTCTCTGCTGTTCGTAACACACATGCCAAACGTCGTTGGGCAAAATGAAGCAAGGGAAATCCAGAACCCTTTTCACCTTCATAATCTAAGACAATAGTCTTATGATTGTTCTTGCTTTTCTTCAAGTAACAGTTGATGTTCACTGTCGTGGCACCCTTCTTTTCTGCTTCGTCGATACACACTGGACCGTTGACAAAACCATTGTCATCTGACTCATTGAGTAAATGTCGTGCGACAAAACTTTTCCCACTTGAAGTATTACCCAGAAGGCTAATGATGAAAATTTTGTCTTCTGTAATATCAATCGTATCGTCTATCGATGGATTGGCACTATGGGCCGGAGCTTCATCAAAATTTCCATTAACACTGGATGTTAATAACGATGTAATTTCTTTCCATTGTGTATGAAAACCATCACCTAAATCCAATTTCCATGAACCATCTGTATCGTTAAGTGCAACAATTTCATTCGTTTTTTCTACTTCGGCTTTAGCTACTATTTCATCATTAATAACGGGTTCTCTGAAATCTTCTTTTTCCATTCCAGATACTTTTTCAAACGATTTTTCTGTATTAATCTTCGTTTCTAACAATAAATGCATCGTTTTATATATCCAAAAAGAACGAGAGAATATACAAAACGTGGTAAAATCCAATGAGTCACAGTCAGAGAGAATAAAAGAATAACTTGTTTTATGGAATAAAAAGATAAATGACGTCATTACTTGTGTCAGCGACAATGAAGCAAAGCAACGAAATGCGTAATTTAGTAATTAGAGTGTTTCTCTTGCACTCCCCACGAAAAAATTTTGAAACAGATACCGCTGATCGTCGCGGTTTTTTCATAATGGCTGCGGTTATATCGTTGAAGGTCGCTGTGTCGAAAAGAAACCG